GATGGGCATGATTACTTTATTGTCATGTACAGGGAGTGTATTAGTCAGCTATTACCTCTGCTCCCCACACTGTGATTGTCTGCAACTGTCCCACTCATGTATGCACATCACTGGTTATTACTGCAGGAAGACTTTGTTTTAAATTAAGTATCAAAATTTTTAGAAAAAGTACTGCCTGTCCATTTTTTTTTCCTTTTCTGTGAAAAAAATCACAAGGCATTTTATAACTTCTGTCTAAACTGCTACTGAAAGAACAGACAGCATACACAGTAATAATGGGTGCTTAAAATAGATGGCTCCCATCCCAAATGTTCATCCCTCTTCCACCAAGTACCATATTTACCCAGTTCTCATTTCACTTCTTTACTTCCTACCAAGTCTTTTCAAGCCTTTCAAGTGAAAACCAATGAAACTGGCTGTTTCACGTAAGCATTACTTCAGTAAAAATAATTTCACTATTCATAAAAACCATGGAAGAAATAGAATGAAAACCAAAAAAAATGAAGAAAGAGAAGAGTGACCTGAAGGAAAGCACTTTAAGGAAGAAAATGAAAGGCAGATAAAGAAGGAAGAACCAAGATTCTTATTAGACATCCTAGAGGGCTTTATATTGAAGTCTGCAAAACCCTACTGTTGCCATGCTAGCTTAAACATACAACAGTAGCAGAGAAAACATTTTTCTCTCTCTTGTTCCTTTAAGTTGCTAAGCGGCGTTTGACGTACAGAGCCTATTTTCTTACTTCTTTTCAGTGGATTCATTCCAGAAGTGCATGTTACAGATGTTGTGTTTAATCGGTACAATGGTTTTTAAAAGTCTCTTCAGTTTGCCAAGCCAAAATCCATACGGCAACACCTTTGCAATTACTTTATTGTTTTTGTGATGTGGAATCAAGAAGTCACTAGCAGAAATTCCTCTTTGCCTCACAGAAGTAATGCTGCATCACAGTATGAAAGACTTCCAAGAAAAGCATTTGACCACTCCAACATAACAGATAATAGTGACTCAAACATCTAAACATGGAAAGTTTTGATGGATAGCTACTATAAATACAGTTTATTATGTAATTGTAAGAAATATGCTTTGTTTTCTCTCCTGTGCAGTTCAGATCAATAACCTGATGGAAGGGACAATTCTTTTCCACTAAAATGATTTTTTTTTAGTTCAGTATACATAATACAGCATTTGCAGTTGTTAACCTAGCCATCAGATTCCTCATTAAAGCTCACCTAAAAACCTTCTGTTTAAAAGACCTGCAATTAACTCAAAATAAAATATTAAAAGTTTGTTAAATCTTTAGGTTGCAAAAATAACACTCCAAAGATTACTACAAGTAAGAGTTTCTTGAATATAAACCAGGAAAAATAACCATTACAATTTAAATATCTACAGAAATGATGGACTGAGAGATGCAGGTGGTTTTCGCCACTCCGAAATTTAAAGAGTCTTATTCAAAATTCTAAATTACAACACTAATTTATGCTTATTAGCAAAAATGATGCAATAGCAGGAAAGCTTGGACTTCACATACCACAGGAACCAATAACTACACAACTGATACTAACTGCATTGTAAATCCTCACTGACAGACGCTCTCCAAACACACATTTAACTACAGTGACATCCTAGTGAGGTCAGAGATGACCAAGTGTAAACTAGTTGACAGCTGAACTTAGCCTGCAAATACTTAAGTGTCCCGAGATGCTTTTCTCTTCAGACATTTGAGGTTTTTATGAAGCAATTGCCCCTTTCTTACAAAAAAGGTGTCAGACATACTTTTAGAGGCTAAGGTACTGGAGTGAAAGAATATAATTTATGGCAAAAAGCCTTTTCTCTTTCTCAATATAAATGCAGCTCATGTTCTTTAAGCATCTTTGTGATGTACTGAGTGACCTCAGTAAAATCATATTGTTATATTACATTAATATATTTACTTAAAATTAGAAAAAGTCTGATATGTTTTCAGGATTCCTGGAAAAACAGTTTTTCAAGTGTAACATAAGATCTTTGCACATCAAGGATGCATCCATGGTTATGAACTCACTGAAAATTCAGGAAAGAGTATTTATTGAAATACAAGGACTGAGCAATCAGAAAGCTATGCAATAAACTCATTTGAGTAACTTATTTAGGCTTTTTTGACATGAAATTCTTTCCATATCCGGGCAATTTAACATGCAGTAACTGCATATTTTGATGAATAGAAAAGATGGAGAAATACCATGAATGTGCAGATGGTCAAATTTACAGACCTCTATTTAGTTGCCAACCAGCAAAACTTTTCAAAAAGATCTCTGCGGAAGCTCCTTAAGTAAAGTTTAGTCCTCAGGAAATCCTTTTATCTGAGCAGAAGGCTGAAGATCACAACTGTACTTCCATGCAAAGCATCCAATCCTGGTACCAGGTCTACACAGTAATGTTCCATGAAAAACAGATGGATGTCCATTTGCTGGCTCCCATGATCTCAGTTATGATAATAAACCTTAGGCAAATATATCTGCCCTATTAACTTCCATAACCTTCTGTTATGGGAAGGATGGAGTATTTCTGTTGCTTTTCTTAACATTTTAAACCTTTCCTCTTTCTAAATCCACATGGGTAGCCAATATAGAAGCAATCATAAATCCAAGAGCTATTAAAAAAGAAAGTAAAACTGTATCTGTTTTAATGGAAGTATCACTTGAGACATGGGTTCAAACTTTTGTAAGATGACAAACTATTATGCTAGTCCTTTTACTGGAATGTCTGCACTGGACTAGTAGAAGTATATCTCCCTGGTACATCCAGTCTGCATCTCAGCCAGGAAGTGCAAGATGAGGTAATTAATCCACTCTATGAAAGAGTTACAGTCTACCCTTAAAACTGTAACTTGTTAAAATTTGTTATCTTCTATCAACTTTCAAATTTCTCATCTGTCCTGTTCCCAAGCATGTCTCACTTTTCTACCTCCTATTCTGCCTGCACACCTTGCCGGAGTGATGCTAGCCCAAGTCTCCTGCCCCCTGTCTTGTTCTGCCTTGACTTGGGAATCAGCAATAAAGAGTAGGAGAGTATGTGTCAGAATAAAAGGCACTTACTCCCAAATCTTTCTAAGATCATCTACATTGTTATTAGTAATTAAAAGCTAACTAAAACTAAATTAAATTTATAATTATGTTGTCTAACAAAAGTCCTGGGTAACAATTTATTGAGAAAACTGTCAAAACCCCAACTTTATTAATTATTTCCTGGTATTTGGAAATAATTTAGAAAGAAGAGGCAGTAAAGAACTCTTGCTTTTATAGTCTTGTTCTATGAACACTTATAGCAACAAGAAACTCTGGGACATCAGTAACACACAACTTATGGAAGTAAATCACGACAAACAGAAGTCACCTGGAAAAAAATATAACTTATTGACATGCCTCTTGAAAAGTTACACAAATACAAAAAACCCCCACATTTAATTCTCTTCTGACCTTGCCCAGTGGACTTGAGTACCTCAAGGAGAGCAAAGAGAACACAGAGATTTTTATCCCCTCTTTATATAGAACCATATGAGAAAGTATGTACTCACTCTGTTTAATAAATCAATTTCTTCCTTCAGCTTTCCAATTAGTTCCTCTTTGTCCTGTGTCATCTTCATTAATCTTGCATTTTCCTGTCTCTCCTTCACAAGTTCCTAAAACCAGAATATGCAATGAAGTTTGAAACATATTTTTTGGTTTTAGGAAACAGTTTTAAGTTATTACCATTTAAAACAAACAAAGAGGAAAAACACACACACACCTATAATTCCTTTTCTACAGCAAGTCAAACCCACGTCCTCAAGCCCTCACATTTCAAAGAGCTAAAGAATCACATTAAGAAAATATTTTACCCACAGCAAACCTGTGTGATACCTCTGATTCCAGAGATAATGTTTTAATTAATATTTAACTTAAGCATGAATCCAAAATTGGATAAGGGGACAAAGCAGAAGTAAGTAAATATAAAGTATCAGCTTCCAAATATGTTATATTGGGAGGGTTAGTCCTTTTTATTTTTTGTTTTGTTTTTTTGTTTTCTTTTTTATACTACCATTAAAAAGGAATGAAGATTCACTGTTAGATCTGTGGGCCTGAATGTGAGAAAAAAAAATTAAAATGTCCATTAGGAATTCAGTAAATCAGGGTTCAAGACACTGAAAGAAAGCCCTTAAATCTTCCTCTATTTTCTATGTTACTGGCAGTTAAATTATTTCAGAAAAAAGCTGATTTGGAAGGGGGGATTATGGTGTACTTCAACAAAATCAGGCTTCCCCAAGTCTTAAAAAAAAAAAAAAAAGGGAAAAAGAAAAAAAAAGAAAAGTAATTTCTACATAATATGCTTTATTTTTGTCCTTTCCAAAAAAGATCTATTAAAATTGTGTTTACTTAGAAACTTTCATCCACATGAATTCAAGAACATTTGGGAAGTTAACCACAAAAATCCACTTCAGAAGAAGACACAGAAGCCAGTAATAGATTACACAGATGACGTTATTTAGCAAAACGCTGGTTTAGGTGAACAACTCAGCTTTACAATTATCATATTTTCCCAAAATTGTTTGCATGAAGAATGCCTGAAATAACAAAAACTTTGTTTTAAATATGTAATTTAAATTTTTACAACATCAACAAACAACTGGATAGCAATTAAATTTTATATTATTTCAGTACATTAAAAAATCCAAAACAACAAGTAGATCAGAAACAGGCTTGCTGATTTGCTGAACAGCCAGTGAGCCCCTCCTTCCCCCAAGCTGTTTGCCCTGTGTTGGTGTGTCACAAAGTACATATGAGAAATACACAGAGCACTGCTGGCTCTCTACCTGTATTATCTTTACCTCAACTATTTCTCACTTACATACCAAATGGAAACTAAAAATCTGTAATTAGGAAGTTCACATTCTTCTCAGTTAGTCTGACTCTTTATATATTTTTACAGACCCAACTATCTGTACTCAAGCATTTAGCATCATTTCTACATATTTTACTTGTAAATTTCCCCATGAAGTTTCAAAGGTACTTTATTTCAGATGTAGGCCATCCAGATGTTAATTGGTACTAACCCTTTCGAGTTCCTCAATCCGCTTTTCCAAAGCATTGCTTGGTACAGAACTGCCAGAAGAATTTGCATCCCTGCTGTATCGGCTGAAAGTTGTCCTCTCTGTTCGGGAATATCTATTTGGAGCATCGTCTTCTGGTGCATTAGCTGTGCTACAAAGGCAAAGAGCAAAGCAAACACCTATTTTTATATTTAACAAAATGGAAATAATAAAAGTAAAAAGTGCTTTCCAAAGAACTCAATAGGTCAGTCTAATAAACTGCAGAGAACTTATTTCACAGCTCCTGTGTTAGTGAGAACTCACTAAATTCATTGCCTCAGGGAGTCAAATACTTGGATAATGCAGCTCTTATCACATAGGTAATCAACTTTAAAAATAAGGTAGAGTAAGTATGTGTTTAAAGATTTAGAAGTTTTATGAACTGTGCACATTAAAAACCAAGCTAAACAACTTTCTTTTAAAAAGTAAAGTACCACTATGAAATTTAAAGTAAGCAGCTTTTTAAGTAGATGAAAACATAAAGCATGAAAATCAAGTACATGTCCAAAACGTAAGAAGCTTACACATATCAACTGACTTTTCAGGAACTATGGATGTGGCCTGTAAGGAACTGGAAAGCACACCAAAGTGAGAAAGTGATGCAGCCCAACATATTAATTTGCCACTTCCAAATATTTTACTTCAGAGCTTGGATACATGGCAGTTTCTCATAGCTCAGCTGATAGGCACTCACTCATTAACTGGTGGTATGTTTTTTGTTTTAGATCATGTGTCTATTCTTGAAAAAACACTGTCATGGCATCTTACCAGATAAGCACTGCAAATGCACATAAGCTAGTTTTAAAAAAGCTTATGGGTTCTCCGGTATGATGGCTTTGTACAAAAACAGTGCTAATTTAAAAACATATATAAGAAGCCAAGAGCATTTTCAAAGTCACAAATTTAACAGTGTTCCCATAGCTATCTTCTTCCTAAAAGCAGTGTTATTTACCTTCAATGTAGAATCTAATGAATAATTAAGAGTAGCAGAACAGAGTGCCCTGGGACCAGGCAGAGAGATATAGATCTTTCCCTTCTCAATCCACCAAACCCACACTTCATAGTCTTTGAAAATATACAGCTAAACAGACAAAGACAAAAAAACACAAACCCCTTGCTCAGTCTTCACCAGGATTAATCAACTAGAGATACTCAAAAGCCATCTGGACATGGTTCTAGGCATCTGGCTCTAGGTGGCCCTGCCTGAGCAGGGGGGTTGGACAAGATGCCCTCCAGAGGTCCCTTCCAACCTCGACCAGCCTGTGATTTTGTGAAATCACACAGCTGAAATACACATAACAATGGATTTCTAGAGAGCACCTAGGAAAAGAATGAAAAGCACTGTGAGTATCCCTACAACATTTCCTTTAAACCATAGAGGGGTATATGATTAATATGTTCATTTAACAGTTTTGCATTTCACAACTCTAGAAAACCCCTGCTGACAATGTGCAAATCTAGATGGATACAGTGCAAATCAGAAGCAGGAGTATCTGGCAAAAGGATGTCTTTTCATGGATATAAATATTGTTTTACTCCAGTATGTGTGAAGTTTCCACAGCACACTGACACAATTGTAAGGAATTTTGTAGCTTAATGTTATTACCATATTTAGCACTGTTTATTCTTCATCTAGAAGATTTTTTTAAAAAAACACTTCTAGGACCGGATATGCATGTTGCAACACAACCTAAGAGAAATATTTTAGCTTAACTCTATAAATTCTACATCATTTAGCTTTGTGAAAGATGTGTTGTTTCATGCTGTTAATGTCTCAAGGATAAACCACACAAAAAAGGCTCAATTTTTCATCACTCAAAAATTAACTGTTTACCAACAGGAGTATCTCAGTTCAGCTCCAGTGAGTGATACTGGCAGATGCTCCAACAGGAAAGTTAGAAGAAAGAATATCCAGACAGGAAGGTTTTCATTAATACTGAAAATTAAGACATTTTCTGCATTTTCCCCGAAACTCATGTTCAAAATTTTCCTCAGCTATTCCACGGGGGAGCAGACATACTGAACACATTCTTTTCCAGTATCAGCAAGTACAAAGGACATATCATGATTACTTCTAGGAAATGGGATTTTAAAAAAAAAATAAGGAGCCATGAGTACATAACTTAACACAAGGAATGTGGCAGATACAAAGTTCATTATTTTGGCTATTATAACCAAAGTCTAGCACACAGCAACAGTAAAAAAAGATACCATCCAAAACACAGCAGACATCTTTCACAAAGAACAAGAAAGAAGATTTGTCTAAAACAGTATCACTGAACTTGGTGTCTATGCTTTACTAAGAGAAAATAAATACCCAGCAAACCAACCAGCCCTAGCAAAAATAACTCTACGGAAACAAACCTGGGTATTTATTTATTTATTTATTTATACATATATACCAAATCTATTTCTTCTTTATAAATATGTAACAACAATACTACTACTAAGAGTAATAATGATCTGTTCAAACTGAAGAGCTTTGTATATTACTACAAAAATAAATTGGGTTTATACCTTCTTTTTGGGGAGGGGTGGCAAAGTGCATGCATGTGACAACAGAACCCATTCAGTTTAAGACTGCAACTGAAACCTTGCTTCCTCCACTTCCCAGCTGAATAAAGGTTTACAAATACTTGCAACTTGAAGTTGCTGGAATCTCACAAAAAGTATGAAAGAAAAGAAAGCCTACTGTCAGTAGATGCGCACTGGCTAAAAGTGGTCATTAGCATCAGATGAAAAATGATAGGGGTCTGCAAGTTGAAAAAATGTAGAGTCACTGCTGAAGAACGCAGTTCACAATATATTCCACTTTTCAGCATTCACGTCACCTATGCACAGGACTGTTTCAACGCTTGTAATCGAAACATTTAGCCACAGGCTACAGCTGAAGAAGAGTATCTGGGATTGTATGTGTAGCCATATGCAGACTGGACTAGAGCGCCCACCCAGAGAGCAGCAAATGAGAATGTGTCTGGATAGAAACATCCCTCACTATTGCTTCCAAAGGGCATGCTCACAAGATGTTTAACAAAATTCAAATTGTTGTTCCATCAGCTTTCTTTCAATTAGCCACTATAGAAACCTCATTTTAAAAGTATACCTGTACTAGAATGCTGAAAACAGAAAACACTTCTGCAACTTAAGAAGATTTGCTTTTTTAAAGTTTTTTCTGGCTGCACTTTAATAAAAATCATACAGTGAAATCAACTCAAATCATAGTTTGACTAACACAGAAACAAAAGGGTTTTTTTCAGAATGCTGTTCTAGTAATTTCCTTTAATATAAAATAAAATCAGTTATTGCCACGGGGGCAGGATTAACAGCAGTAACAGAGAAAGGTGGAATAAATCTTGCTCCTTCCAATACCTCTTTGGTTCTTTCAGTGTTTTCCTGAAGCACTGTCCAAATTGCAATTTCATCCAATTAAAAATCACCCAGTCAAAACCAGATTTCATTGATCTCAACTACACTTTTATTTTTATTGCCACAACCTTGTAACTATACTCGATTTGGAATCTCCTAATTAATTATGTCACTAAAATCCAGCCAGTTGCCTCAGTTACTTTGGAAGAATGAGCAAAAGAGTATTTCTAAATAGGCCACTGTGGACTTCTGTTACTTTGGACTGCTTAAGCCAAGTCCATGGCTTTCAGAGCTGAACTAAGGAAAGGCAGTCTTGTCTTCTCTACAGCTGCACGTTCTGAGCCTCCTCCACCCTTCCTGGCTCTGGCTTTCAGGTGACTGAGTATGAAACCATTCAAGGAGCTGATGCAGTAATCCAGCAGTCCAGCAAAGGAAGCCACCGACTTTCAGCCACAGGGGCTCCCTGAAGCATCACCCTGTCCAGCTGCATGAGCACTGGCATAAGGGACAGTGAGGAACTGCAGCCAGCTCAACTTAGACCATCAAAAACTTGTGCATAAATGAACGCTAAGTGTTTCTGCCTTCTCATAACATCAGCCTCAGCTGAAAAGGGGATTAAAAAGTCAATTAAAGCACCTTGAGCAATCCCTGTCTATGTCCAATGTTCCTATCTGCACAGCAGTGGTCCTAATGTAACAAGCTAGATGAGACAGTGCTTCAAGAGCCAACTCTCGCTGCAAAACTCCCAAACACAGGCAAGTAGGCAAGTCTGGGCATAATATTATGAAATAGTATTTTGCAGCTGTATTTTTTTTTTAATTAGTGAGACCAAGGTTAGTATGATGGAATGCAAATTGTCATAGTTTAACCTTTGTACTAATCTAAAAACACTGAGCACAAGAATTTCAGGAGGGCTTTAACATTTTCTTCACAGCACTTCCAATGAGTGCTCTGAAGCCATTAGCTTCTTCTCTTCTTATGATCTCTTCTTCCTCATTTATTTTTCAACTCTTGCATGAATGCTGAACTCAAGTAAAATGTGGTCTTTTAGAACTAGTGAGTAAGCGTCTCTGCCTACTGGATTCCATGTTACTGTGCTGTACTATCCTAAAAGGGGTGGGGGGGAACCCTCTGACATTTTGCCTGGAAGCCATGAAGCCATACCATATTGTATTCATTTCCACTAATAAACCAACTTATAAAGGGAACACACCTCTGAACCACTAAGAGATTTTTATCTGCTCTTTCTGTAAACTGATCCAGCCTGATCTGCCTGATCCATGAACCACACAAAAATCTTCTGAGTTATTTTAAATCCTGATTTGCAAGGTTTTCTTTTCAATTTCAGACACTCCTAAAAAAGAAGCTGAATTGGTTCAAAAGCTAGTAGAGTCTTAAAAATAAGCTGCTAAAACAAATTCTCTGTATTTATAAAAATATTCCTACATCCACATACATCCCTTGCTTTACTGTTACTTGCAAACAAACTTTTTAGTTCACAGAATGCAAGAGAAATAATTCATGTTTGCATGTAGATTACACTCAAATATTTCAATAAACAGAAAATACTCTCTTGTTTCAGGAATCAGTGATGACACCAACCGTGCTGATAGCATCAGACTTAAATCAAAACCATTCTTACTAATGACAACGTGCTTGTTGCGTTAAAATAACTACTCACAGAGCAGTGTAAAAGCTGGTACACCCAGTTCACAGTAATAGAAGTTTGGAATGGCCAAGATGAGG